AAAATTTTGGTTTTATTCGATTCGTTTTTTTATTTTCTTTCCAAAAAAGTGAGGATTATTGGGATTTAACAAAATAATTTTATTATATTTATATCAAATGTGCCTAAATTCTATGCAATAATAATTATGTATTCCTAATAATGGAAATAAAGCCGACCGATGGCAAGGTTGCCGGATGATTTTCAGTGTGTAGTGGTGTGTACAACCCTTGTTGTTTTCGCAGTGCTGCCAGATTTCACATTTTTCATGAACTAGTAGTAAAAACCAATGATACAATTTTATAATTACATATTAAAATTTATTGAATTCAAATAATTTAGTTGTCAACCAGTACACTCATAACCAGTAATAAACGAACTGTGTCAGAACTAACCAATAATATGCAAACTACGTTCTAGTCCTTGTACGTTGATATGTAACTGACCCATCCACCTAATGCGTGCTAGTCCTTGTATGGTAATACTGAATTAAAAAAACGAAACGCGCTAGCGCTCTTTATTAATAACCAGTACACTAGTAATAAACGAAACTAACCAGAAATAGGCAAACTAACCCAAACTAACGCGTCCACCTAATGCGTACTAGTCCTTGTATGTTAATACTGGATTCAAAAAACAAAGCTTTATTATTAACCAGTACACTTATAACCAGTAATAAACGAAACTAACCAGAAATAAGCAAACTAACCCAAACTAACCCGTCCACCTAATGCGTACTAGTCCTTGTATGTGAATACTGGATACAAAAAACAAAGCGCGCAAGCGCGCTTTATTAATAACCAGTACACTTATAACCAGTAATAAACGAAACTAACCAGAAATAAGCAAACTAACCCAAACTAACCCGTCCACCTAATGCGTACTAGTCCTTGTATGTGAATACTGGATACAAAAAACAAAGCGCGCAAGCGCGCTTTATTAATAACCAGTGCACTTATAACCAGTAATAAACGAAACTAACCAGAAATAAGCAAACTAACCCAAACTAACCCGTCCACCTAATGCGTACTAGTCTTTGTATGTGAATACTGGATACAAAAAACAAAGCGCGCAAGCGCGCTTTATTAATAACCAGTACACTTATAACCAGTAATAAACGAAACTAACCAGAAATAAGCAAACTAACCCAAACTAACCCGTCCACCTAATGCGTACTAGTCCTTGTATGTGAATACTGGATACAAAAAACAAAGCGCGCAAGCGCGCTTTATTAATAACCAGTACACTTATAACCAGTAATAAACGAAACTAACCAGAAATAAGCAAACTAACCCAAACTAACCCGTCCACCTAATGCGTACTAGTCCTTGTATGTTAATACTAGATTCGAAAAACAAAGCGCGCAAGCGCGCTTCATTAATAACCAGTGCACTTATAACCAGTAATAAACGAAACTAACCAGAAATAAGCAAACTAACCCAAACTAACCCGTCCACCTAATGCGTACTAGTCCTTGTATGTGAATACTGGATACAAAAAACAAAGCGCGCAAGCGCGCTTTATTAATAACCAGTGCACTTATAACCAGTAATAAACGAAACTAACCAGAAATAAGCAAACTAACCCAAACTAACCCGTCCACCTAATGCGTACTAGTCCTTGTATGTGAATACTGGATACAAAAAACAAAGCGCGCAAGCGCGCTTTATTAATAACCAGTGCACTTATAACCAGTAATAAACGAAACTAACCAGAAATAAGCAAACTAACCCAAACTAACCCGTCCACCTAATGCGTACTAGTCCTTGTATGTTAATACTGGATTCGAAAAACAAAGCGCGCACAAGCGCGCTTTATTAATAACCAGTACACTTATAACCAGTAATAAACGAAACTAACCAGAAATAAGCAAACTAACCCAAACTAACCCGTCCACCTAATGCGTACTAGTCCTTGTATGTTAATACTGGATTCGAAAAACAAAGCGCGCAAGCGCGCTTTATTAATAATCAGTACACTTATAACCAGTAATAAACGAAACTAACCAGAAATAAGCAAACTAACCCGTCCACCTAATGCGTACTAGTCCTTGTATGTTAATTCTAGATTCGAAAAACAAAGCGCGCAAGCGCGCTTTATTAATAACCAGTGCACTTATAACCAGTAATAAACGAAACTAACCAGAAATAAGCAAACTAACCCGTCCACCTAATTCATACTAGTCCTTGTATGTTAATACTGGATTCAAAAAACAAAGCGCGCAAGTGCGCTTTATTAATAACCAGTACACTTATAACCAGTAATAAACTAAACTAACCAGAAATAAGCAAACTACCCAAACTAACCCGTCCACCTAATGCGTACTAGTCCTTGTATGTTAATACTGGATTCGAAAAACAAAGCGCGCAAGCGCGCTTTATTAATAACCAGTACACTTATCACTGGCGCCGACTACATGGGGGCATCGGGGCAAGTGCACCCATGAGTAACCTCTTATGGGTGCGGAGCACCCATGGGAGCTCTCGTGGGAAATACGGACACTTTGTGACAAACCTTTACCTACTAAACAATTAGGTAGGTACTATCCAGGATTTGTTTTCTTTTTAGTTTTTTTTTTTAACCAAATCCTGAATCCTGATGATCATTTTATTTGTCTGCTATTCAAGGTATCGACACAAGCTGATGTGGAGGATAGTAAATGGCTTAGATCCATACACCATTTATGTAGAGAGACTTTTTGGTTTTTTTAATATGGATTTCGTAAGATTTTTTCTCTTTTGCTACAATCCATGAAGCCCTCACAAAGTACAGACAAATAATTTTTCTCCGTTAAAAACCTGTCTTTTATCTCTGGAGGAATGGCATGAAAATAGACTTTCTCGCGATTAGAACGGCTCCCACAACTAACTACACTACAATACATAACGTGTGCATTTTCCAAAAAATCAACACTTTACAGACTTTATAAAAATCAAAAATTGCAATAAAACGGCATTTTTTTAAATAAGAAGGCATTGACCTCCATTTTGAATTACTATTTGACAGGTCGTTGGATTGCCCTATTGTTCCGCCGCGACGGTTCAATAGCATAATTTCTTTCAGTTTTAAAGTTTTAACCTCAATCAATCGAAAAAAAACAATAAAATTTCATTTTATATGATCACATAATATTCATAAAACGTTGAAAATTTTTAAAAAAATTATAATTGGAAAGAAAATTACACCTATATTATAGAATTGGTTGTTCAAAATATCCCAAATAACAAAGAGTAATGAGATTGATGCGAAACTTTTTTTTTGAATGTAAGTGATATTTATTGAAATATTTAAATAATCCTCACTTTTTTGGAAAGATAATAAAAAAACAAATCGATTAATACCAAAATTTTTGAAAAAAAATCATTTTTGAGGAATTACCTTATCTCAACCATCACCCTCCTGCCTAAACAGGGACCTGCATGATTCTCTGTATCCTTTTTTGCACATACAACGAACACCTCTTTTCTGTAGAACGAACACCGAATGTAACAGACTGTCTGTTGTGTTACCCCAGAAAGCTATCCCATACTGTATGTGTGCATCAACCAGAGCGAAGTAAGCCGCCCTTGCTGCTTGTTTGCCAAGTTCCCGTGCAACTACTCTTATGATGTAACATCCTTTGGCTAGTTTTTTTGTGAGTTGGTCTATATGAATATCAAATTTTAGATGTGTATCAATGTGAATGCCTAAGAATTTTATTGTTGATTTGTTTTCAATGGTCTCGTCTCTTAGTTTTATGTCAGTCAAAGCACATTTAAAAGTAAGGATGTTTGTTTTTTTTTATATTAAAACAGAGTTTGTTTGCTTCACACCATTGACTTATTAAAGAGAGATCTTTTTCTATGGTGGCACAGAAATTGATTAAAGACTTTGCACTCCACAAAACATTTGCAACTTGTTGAAACTATACAGGAATAAGTTGTGACTAGTTCTTTGAGACGGTTGTATTTGTAAAATAGAAGAATTGAAATGGAATTTTCAGACATAGAAGAGCAGAATGGCTTTCATGAGGGACATTCAGGCATGGGATGGCACTTTCACATTACAACAAATCATAGAAAAAAGGAAAGCTCGAAATCTGTCCACACACTATGTTTTTTTTTGGGGTCTGTAATACCTACTTTCTCCATTTCCTTGAATACCTTTAGAAAAACGATCTTGTTCAGCAATGACGCTGGACATTGGTTATAAATGATCAGATAATAATTTAACTAGATCAGTCTAGTTTTTTGATCATATGGGCTAGTACTGAAGGATGTTTGTGCTCATGGTATAAGCCATTCTGTTTCATTTTGTTTATTTCATCAGGCGTACCTGCAAACTCCTTCATACAAAAAAATAATTCAAATTGTTTAATTAAGATTTCCCAGGTTTCGTTTTCCTCATTGAAACTTGAAACATTCCAATGTTATGTTTTCACTTTGTATAGAATTCTTATTTCTCCGGGTAGTGCTAAACATGCTTTAGAAACATGATTTAAAAAGGGACAGAAGCTAGTCTCATTCAAAGTACCTATCTGAAATCTATTCTTCTCCCAAGTTATTTTATATTTGGTCCCTTTATTTTTCTAAAAATTTTAATCAACCTCCAAAAAATAATACCTTGGAGACCTACAGCAGCTTTAATTTAAATTGGGTTAAGGGTTGAACATTGTTGCTGAACCCTGTTACTAGGAGGGAAGTTCTCTCTTTATCACCTTATTTCTAATTTTCTATATCACTCCTAACAAATAACACCATCATTTAAAGTGCATTATGAATGAGTCTCTTGGTTTATAAAGACTAAGGACACCTGACCATTGTTCATAACAAGATCGTACCCATTGTACTTATGCATGGGAACAATTAAAAAGTATTACTATTGGTTTTTAATTATTTAGCATCTCTATACAGTCTTTGATTATATTTAAGCCCGCACCTACAGCCTTTAAAGGTTAAGGTAAAGTAAAGGCTGTAAGTATAGGCTTAAATATAATCAAAGACCCTGTACATCACAAAAAATTATAACTTTTCTCTTTTTTAGTTATTCTCACTAGCCTTGGTTCTATACAGAGTATTCACCTTTAACAATTGTGATGAAGCTGCAGTGGAACTACAGAAGGTGTGTACCTAACTGATTTTTTTTTTAATGTGAGGAGTGTTTTAGAACTGGAATAAAAAATAAAGTGGCTCACTAACTTGCTAGGGAATTAAGTGGAACTTTTACTCCCTAGCGACTGCATTCTCCCATTAGTAAACAAGCTTGTCATATTTAATCTCGGGTTTAATCCCAATTTGTATCACCTATCAATTATTGAAGATTTTAAGATGTTACAATTTTCAATTTTGACAATATTGTTTCCGAGATTACAAAACATACCAATGCACCATCCAGCTAAAGCGTTTTTGAATCATTCAGTAACTTGTACAATATTTTGCTGTGAGAAAAAAGGATACACTTTATTCCCCTGATATCAAACTGTTATTGTAACAATATATATATTTTTTTTATAGGAAATTCTTGAAGCAAAAGAAGACCTCAAAAGACTGGGATTTAAGTTTAAAGAATAAATGAAACTACTAATTTTTGCATGTACAAACCTTAGATATATTTTAAATTTAAATAAGTACAAGATGTCACTTGTAAAGTAATAAATAAACAAATCAATTTTTGTAATATATAATTAAAAGTGAAATAGAAGCAAATATAAATTCCCTTTTGAAGGAACTGAGCAAATAAATACAATCCATTAAACTAATATTATAATACCCATAATAATAAATTTGAAAATAATATTATATAGGTACATATTATCAATATCACTTGTAAAGTGATAAATTAACAATTCAATCCTTCTTATAGATTGAAAACTCAATAGAAGCTAATAATAATTAATTCCCTACTGAATAAACTTTTCAAGCAAATGGATACTATCCATTAAACTAATACTATAATTGCATAAATTTGGAAATAATATATGTATGTATTTACAAATACATATTTCAGCCTTCTTGCTTTAGCAAGGAATCCTGGGTTTACAAACGCAATAGTCCGGATGTAGAACCCTACAGTTAGGATTCCAAACGAGGAAATTTGAAATACCTTCTTTAGTCACCCTGGTATAAGTGACATCTAATAAGTCCAAGTTGAGATTTCTTATGGATATTAAAGCTTCATCTGTAATTGCTCTGTAGCCTCTCAACGAGAGGCGACGCAATCTAGTTTTGTTGGCGTCCTGAGGAATTTTTTCATAATACCTGAAATAAATTCTAAATTGGTTTTAGTCACTTTATATTGGTTGCTTGGTAGTACTCGTAGAGTCATAACAGATCGGACCATTTGTTGATCAGTCCAGAAGTTATCAGCATGGATTTTGATACACAGTTTTATTTCGCTTCAACTCACAGTGGCTGTGGGTTTTTTACAGGGCAAAATCATTTTCAAACTCCTGTGTTAGTTTCCCTTAAGATTTTTTTTCTGAATCAACCAGTGAACTGACCTACTAATTCTTACCTTTGTCTTATCTGTTCCATAATATGATCAAATCTATCAGCCGTTCGGTGATGTACTTGGATTGAGTAAGGTGCTCTTACTGGGAACACAACTCGTTCATTAAGAGTAACACTAATAATAAATTAAATTTCTTTAGATACCTAGTGTGATATTTTTTCTATTAACTATGAAATGCATTCACTTTCTTCACTCCTTATAGGTGATTATTTTAATTTGAATACTTATGCAAATTAGTATAAAGATTGAAATAAGTGATGAAGAAAACATTGTGGTATTTTATAATACCAGTAATAAGGGATATTAAATATATCTATCAGGAGAATTTCTAATTTTAATGCTTGTTGTATAGCAAGCATCTTTGAGTTTTGAAACTGTTTATAATATACTTACAGTCTTGACCATGACGTAGGTCCCGTATTAACAACAGAACGACGGAATACTGATGTTGGGCGTGAGGGTGAAGGCTCAGCCATATTAGAACTGCTAGTGCTAGCTCCTGCTTCTGGTGGTAGTTTTTGCTTTTTTTGTTGGTCACTTGAACTACTGCTGCTGGGTCCTGGTTCATCTTCTGCTTTTCTTTTGGGTGCTTGTCGGTTAGTTCCTGAGGTCGACGGACCTGGTTGGGGGCTACTATTAAGATAATTGGAGTTTTAAGAGAATGTACCATTCTACCTCTGTTATTATGAATTAGGAAAAACATTTTAGACTCGACAATTGATACTTATAGTTTTTTTTTTAATTAATGATTTCTAGCACTATCCAACACTTTACGGTGTCAAAGGCTGATGTACCGAAATCCATTCATAAACATTTCTATATTATAGTTTCCTATTATTGATTCTTACCTTGCTCGTGGTGGAGGATTAACATCAAATCGATTTGCATCATTGACATCAAAGAGGTTGATTACCTCTGGTTGGGGCAAATTTCCTTGTTCATCAGCCTAAAATATAGATATATTTTTCTCCAAACTCTTGCTAAAGTAAGTGATTAATAACCTCACGAACTTTCAAAACGATCATTTGCTGTGTTTTGCCTACCCCAAACATACAACATTCTCTATCATTGTCTTCAGAATCACTGTCATCGTCCGAGTTGGAGTCCTCTGACTGAGAAGGATAAAATTTCTTTTGATTATCGTAAAAGAAATTTTTAAAATTCTTGGGAAGTTTTTTCAAATCTTTCATGTGTCTGCGGCAAATAAATTTTGTAGGAGGAATATCGAAATCAATATAATCGTCTACTGGCCATGGTCCCTTAGCTTCATCAGCTTCTTTTTTGTTTTTAACATCTAGATTAATTGACAATTAATATTGAAAAAATCAAGATATTTTGTTATACCATTCTTCCATTTACAAGAACACTCTGGATATGGATCCTGGTATAAAAGGCTTTGAGGCAATTCTTCAATATTGTGTCCAGTTAAAAACTGAAATTGATATAAGCTCTCGTTTCGTATACTCACAGCCCTCTACAATATTGTTAATTTAAATATAATGGATATAATAAAAAATACACCTGCCTCATCTGCTTGTTCCACTTGAGGGAGTCTCATCAATTTGACACCAGTATCTAGTTTATGAGAGGACATGCTTTGAAAGTATAGAGCCATTACTGATCTACTCGCTTGCATCAAGACCTCATTACTTATGGCTAAAATGTAAGAATTAATTATTAAAAACTAAAAATAAAAGATAATAAACTTACTGTTAAATCTGCAGTCGATGATTTTCAATTGTTTACAGGCATGTCTTGCAATGCTGAGATATGGAAGTACATTGAAGTGGAGTCTCATACATTTTATAATGGAAAGTATTTCCAAATTTGGATATTTGGCTATTGATATAAAAAAGTTACTGTCCAACCAATCACATTCGTCTAAGATTAGAACCTTAACAGAAATCAGGGGTATATTTATTCAATTAATGACGTACTATTTCTTATTTAGTTAAAAACATTTAAAAATACTAAAGAGATCACACTCGCGGATAATAAAAAAAATAATCAAAATAGCTGATGGTACAAAAATTCTTATTGCTCTTTTTAGGAACTTAGTGAATGGGTTTTAAATTACTTGAAACATACACCTATGAGGAACGTTTATTTTTTATTATGTCATTTCATCAGCCAGAAACAGGTGAAAGATATAGAACAGAATATATGGAAGTAGAAGAGGCTTTTGGTAGGGGTGACATGACAGTCTGGTTTGGGTGAGGTGTACTAATCAGATTAGGAAGAATGGACTAAATGATGAAAAATACTGAAGACAAGAAGCAGGAGCCAATCGAAAAGAAAACAGGACAGAACAGTTCTGGCTTGCAGCACTTCTACAGCAACGCGAAGATTTGAGTAAAAAAAAAAAACAGAAACAGAACTGGCTTAAGGAAAAATTTGAAGCTGGATAAGTTGAAGTAGATGAGACACAAAAGCTTGGAAGAGGCTGCTTGGGACAACAGAGTTGGTCATAGATCAGGAATCAGAAGATTTAAAACCTCATATGAACTGATGATTTCATATACTTAGTATACACAGTGATTTAAGTAGCCCGTGCATTAGAAATTGTCCAGTTTGCAGGTGGATGTAACAGGTAATAGGTATTTTGATTCAAATTGTTAATGGTTTTATTCAAAGTTACCAAGGCTGTGGTCCGAATATAACCGGGGTTGTGGTTTCGCGGTCCAAAAGAAATTACTCTAGTTCTTGAAAAAGTGGTTACTTTTGGACCTCGGTTTCCAAATGTTGGAAATCTGGTTAACCAAATGTCAAAATAATTACCGGCCATCGGATGTCGGTTCTGTTGGTTTTATCTGTAATTTCTGTCAATTATTTTTTATTTGACATTGGCGTTCCCCAAGTGACCAGAATTTTCAGTAACCATTTGTCAACCGATTCGGTTACTTTGGTTAACGTTTGGTTATATTTGGACCATCGCCCAAGTTTGTAGGTTGGCTAATTTTTTGATATGTATAATAATAATAATAACTTCGTTTATTTAGCATCAGTGCTATACAGGGTGTCTCACCCGGAACCAAATTCGATCTACAGTATTCTACAGGGTGTCCCACGAGGTTTTTCCCAAATGATAACTCTGGAACGCATCATCGTATGTTCGACTGTATAATTTTTTATCATTTGCTTTAACAAAGCCATAACAAATATAGCATTTCCGATTTTGTAATTTAAGATTCGGAAGTTGACGTCACTTGACTGAAATTGAAGTGAAAGTGGTGAAATTGAATGACAATGGTAAAAGCGGCATAAAAAGTTACCCACATCCTCAAAATTTCAATTATATTGGATGACGCGTTCCGAAGTTATTACCTGGGAAAAATGTTGTGGAACACCGTTCATATATGAAAAACTGTATGCAGAAAATTTTTGAAAATTTGACAGTATACTAATGTCAATGGGGGCAACCCGGCTAAAATATTTTCAAGATGGTGGCACTTCCGGTTATACCGGAAGAAGACGTCAACTTACTTATTTTAAATGAGACACCCTGTATGTGACTGCATATTTGGATTCTAAATTTTGTTTCACCAGGGTTCATACTTTTGACATAATGTGCCTTCTTTTTTTAACAAATAGAAATTGACTGAAACAAGTCAATGATGTCAAAAACGTTTGTCAGTTCTTAAACCAGAAGTCATCCATTTTAATTTGTCAAAAAAATTGAATGTGTCATATGAATTAATCTACGACAATCCTTTTTTTTTCAAGTTTCAAGGTCAAGTATGAACCCTGCTGAAACGATCTGTACGTATAATTCTGAGCAGATTCTACGTGATATACCCTAACCCTATACCTAAGTTCAACTGTTTTGGAAATATTGACAGTTGAAAATTGACTTTTTGCAAATTTGACAGGCCGTAAAACCTGTACGGTTGATTTCAGAGGAAAACCGATTTTACATGCCTGTCTTAGATTTTCATAAACTATCATTTGACATCAATTTTGAATTAAAAATTCCAGTTAAATTCAATCTCCTGTTTAATTCAAAGTTGGTGTCAAATGTTTATGAAAATCTAAGATAAGAATGTAAAATCGGTTTTTCTCCAAAATTAATCCTTGCAAAAAGTCAATCATAGAAGTCAATTTTCAACTGAGTTGAACTTGGGTATAGGGTATATCACATAAAATCTGTTCAGAAGTTTACGTAGAATCCAAATATGCAGTCACATACAGGATGTCTCGTTTTAAATAAGTAAGTTAAAGTCTACTTCCGGTATAATCGTAAGTGCCACCATCTTGAAAATATTTTAGCCGGGTTACCCCCATTAGGCAATTCAAACCACGTGACATTCAAGATGGCGTGACGGCCACACATGGGCCAAAAAACACAAAAAAATATCTAGTTTCTGCCCGAACTAATAGTTTACGTACCTGGTCAACAAATATTTTATTAAATAATGAAAATCAAAGTTGTAAGCAAAACTCTATGTAAAATAATTTAAAATATGCATAAAAACATATCCAAAACAAACTTGCTTGGCCGCCACGCCACATTGAATTTTCCTGTTTGACAGATGGATTGAATTGCCTAATTGACATTAGTATACTGTCAAATTTTCAAAAAATGTTTGCATACAGTTTGTTTTTGTCATTTTTTTCGTTGATTTGCTCCAAAAATTTTGACAGGCACGTGATTTGTAAATTGAAACTGTCTGATCCAGTCACGTGCCTGTCAAAATGTTGGAGCAAATCGACGAAAAAGATGACAATAACGAACTCGGCCTTGGATCAGACAGTTTCAATTTACAAATCACGTGCCTGTCAAAAATTCCGGAGCAAATCGTCGAAAAAGGGACAATAACGTCTCTTGTATTGCATCAAAATAATAATGTAGGGAGCCACCAGCTCACATTCCGTCCGAGTATCAGATTAAAATCGACGGACAATACACTGGCATACCTATTCACCTGCAATATTGCCCTCATAGCTCTATTCTGTTGAACTTGAAGCTTTTGCTTATCAAAATCGTTACTATACAGTAAGATTGTAGGGCAATACTCGAAGAGACGCGCTATAAGAGTTTTATATACATGTATTCTTGACATATGTATATGATAGATTCTTAGAAATTCTAATAAAGAATTTCACTGAGTCATCAAGACATTAGGTTTACAATATCAATTACATATCTATTTTTTAATGATTTCCCACTCAATAATTGGATGTATTTCTTTGAAGTGGTGTAAATAAAATAAAATAACATAAAAATAAAATAAAATAATTTGTGTGATAAATCAGATACATAGTTGATACAGGCAAGCGTTGAAAAAATTCTCAAACAACTCCCATATAGGTAAAGAAAGACCATAAAAGGCATATTTCATTAAATAAAAATATATTCATGAGGACCATCAGGAACTTTTAATCCAACTATAAAGTTTCAAGCTAGACTTTGTATTATTTTCAGGGTCACTCACAGCACAAGTGACATAAACTGCGACAAGTGAGTGAACCTGTGTGGAAAGAATGCGGGCATAACCCTCCTGATTGGCCCGAGATTAAATATACATATACGCGGGTCGTCGCGTCTGGTTAAACGCAATTTTCGCAATGCACCACGTCGGGGACCCGTCGCGTCGTATAGTATAGATTTTCATCTTCCTCTCTGCTACTTCATATGTTACCAAGGTTCACTCACTTGTCGCACATTACATAATATAATGCAAAATATTCAGTGCTATGAATCAACAGATAACTATTCTGCTGACTGCATTAAACTGGTGATATGGATTTAACTAACCTAAACAACCCAATTAAATACAGTAGTATCAGCAAATCTTAGATAAATGTGAATATTAAAAATTCCTCTTGATAATAATTTCATTGAGTCGAGTTTCAAACTATGAAATAAACATGTAAATAACATCTAAAATGTCCGCTTTTATCTTTGTTTGCATTGAACAAGGTCTTGTCAGAGGTGAGGAATGTTGAATCACTTGGTTTCCTAATAAAAATCTTGGCGATCGTGATTACTCCAAGTCAAAGTCAAAAATAGCTTTAAGTATAAATAATGACATCTCATTATCAAAACAAAGTTAAAAATAGAATTAGTAACAACACAAACTTAATGTTAAATTTATTAAATAATTAGGCAATTCAATCCATCTGTCAAAAAGGAAAATTCAATGTGGCGTGGCGGCCAAGCAAGCTTGTTTTGAATATTTTTTTATGCGTATTTTAAATTATTTTTGCTTACAACTTTGATTTTCATTATTTAATAAAATATTTGTAGACTAGGTACCTAAACTATTAATTCGGACAGAAACCAGATATTTTTTTGTGTTTTTTGGCCCATGTGTGGCCGCCACGCCATCTTGAATGTCAGGTGGTTTGAATTGCCTAGCTTCCTGACAAGTATTACCACTCTCCTAAATTGACTTTCATTACATCTTTTACGTACACTTGAAGGCAGGTGAGCAAAAAGATTTGGGAGTTATTTTAAATCCTGTTTTGTATTTCACATGGAATATTTTTTCAAAAATGTCTGGTGCTGACAAAATATTACCCATCTTAGAATATGGCCATGTAGGTATTATATTATGGTCACAACAGGGCTTTGATTACGAAAAAGTACATCACATTATTGTTTCTTAATTGGTCAGCATTTTTAACATAACAATCAGACCTATGATTTATCACTGTTTATTCCATACATCAAAGTATGGAGAAGTATAGATATTGAGCTATAACATAGCTGTTAAAATAACACGAGAGGATATATCATAGGCCTGATTACAAAATTTTAAAAAAATATAGCTAGGATGCAATTCATTAATTCGTTTAAAATTTCATAGCCATCTTTGATTTACTTTTTTTTTGAAGAGTCGTTATGTGGTGATTGATTGGTTTACTTTGTCAAAATTGTTTTTAAGGTTTTACGTAATGCATGTTGCCTCTATTTTTGTATCATTATCATTAAGTCAGTATCAAGGTCAGTATCTGTAATTGGCTCTGCCTTTGATACTTTGGATAAATAAAATAAATAAATAAACTTACCCTTAGATTGCTCATTGCCATAAAGGAACCATGGAAAAATTGCTTCCCATTTCTAACATAGCTTTTTTTCAAACTCAACTCCACCAAGGTTCGTGGAAATCTTTGCAAATTAATCTGAAAATTTATTATTCTAGTTAATACAAAAAGCGCAAAAATTCAGGATTAGGTACATTCTTACATTTTTGCCATCAATGCGTTGATTTTCCAAAGCTAAAACCCGAAGATTTTGAAGCTGGTTCAAGCCCAACAAAGTGTCCTGAGGTATAACACCATCATATCTACTTTCAGCTCTCATTAGAATGTGCGTAGTCCTGTCGTGAATCCTGTCACAGACATACTGCACCTTTTTGGTACTGTTTGGCTCCTTTCGGGCTTCAATGAATTCCCAGAGTTTGGGGTCTTCCACAATGTTTTTAAAGTAATGACAAGTCCTTGAAAATTATATTATTCATATTATTATTCCCTTTATTTAGGTACTTAGTTTAAGGTTAGAAAATTAACTTTTTTCGCCAACCAAACCGTCAGTAGAGCTATACATTTGATTACCATAGGGATTTCCAGAAGTAAAGAAATACTTTATTTCACTGTAAAATAAAGTATTCCACACATTTATTACCAAAGACAACCAGCGTTGCCAGACCTTTGAAAATTAAAGTACTCATGAAGAGACAAAAAATGTACTGAAAAACGGAAAAGTGTACTAACTTCAGAACCTGAACTGGAGTTCATAAAACTGATAAAGTAGATGGTTTTAGGATACTAATTTTTTTTTTACTACTCCTGTACTGCTTTAAATTTAAAACATCAAATAAAAGATCATTCATTTTAAAATATTTTTAATATTTCACGGTTTGGTTAGTGGGTTAATTAAACACTCGGATGGGCGATGGGCTTCACGAAAAACATTGTTTTTAATCTACTAGGTACCTCTTTACCTAACTAAAGTCACTAAAGATCTGACTTTACAGATTGGGGCAGGTTACTTATTCCACGAACTTTAATGCTAATATCTTCTAGCTTCTCAAGAATGTACGTTAAAGAATTAAAGTTAGGTCAGTAATATTGCCATGTCATCACCCTTCTTGGAATTTTTTTTTATCTAAGCAACATCTTATCTAAGTAAAACCCTCCTCTCGGGTGGATCTTGTAATCCAAAGCTTAAACTACTTTTTTCCTGCACTGCATGACAAATTTCCTCGCAAATTTCCAAACTAAGCGAAATTAAACTCCTAATAGAGATTAAGTCCATACGGGCATAAAATGGGCGTGGGCTAAAGGCATGTTTGGGGTGCGTTCAATATTTTGCTGGGATGCACCCGGAGTGATCCATGCGCCCAGTCCGCCCATTCGAAAATGCAGGTATTCGTTAATTTTTCCCGCCATTTAAAAATATCCCCAGTATTGTACAGCAGCGGCAAAATGTACAGAATTTTATAGTGTGGTACTAACTACTAACGTACTGAAGAGAGTCAAATTGTACTGATTTTAGTTCATCTGTACTGATGCTGGCAACACTGCAGACAACGTAGTTGTTGTTACCAATGATAATTCTAATAAAGAAGACTACTAAAAATTGTTAACATAGATAAAACTCAATCCTCAAACATTATCGATATTCCTTCGACTTGAAGAATTCATTTTTATTGTACGATGGCGTGTAGATTCAGGTTCAATATACCAAACAATAAGCAGAATTGTTCTGTATTTGCTCTTATCATAAAATGTGTTTTGATATTTGCACTTTTTAGAGCTATCAATTTTCATGGCTGGCGATAAAGTTTTGTATGCACCATTTCAGTAAAGTGTCTTTATCAAACTTGCCTCGCTTCGCTCGCTCGACCCATAAGTCATAATCTCAAACCTTTGGTTTGACAAAGAAACACTTTAATGCCTCGGTACATTAATACTATCACAGTACTGAGTCCAGCAAAAGAATATTTTACTGGACTTTGTTTTACCCGACTGAAATGTCAAACATCTCGCTCATACTGTAGAAGTTTATTTTCTGGACTTATAAGGTACATATCTATTTACAGGGTACATATTTCAAGGGGAAAATGTAAAATTACAAAGGAAATCACCTGCTAAGCTGGAAAAGAGAAGTTGCGTCCAAATTGGATAAAATATACATCATGGCACAATCAGATAGTTGCAAGATTTTGCAACTTCGTTCCTGTAGACCCATTTTTAATGTTCTTGATACAGTATCACTTTTGAAATTATTTACATTTGTTTTAAATATTCTTGAGAATTATTACAGCACGAATGTGCAAGCAATGCTAATAGTTATTGTAAATACCTATACGATACCACGACCACACACAAGGCAAGAAAAAAACAAGGCGAACCCCCATAGATCCAAAACAAAACACAACTTTGTTATGGCGGATATTTTTATTGGAAATGGGAGGGGATGGGATGGGGATAACTTGAAAGCTTGATATGTCATTAATGTCATAGCAAATTCAATTTTCCGATCGAGTACAGTAATTGGCCATTTTAGTGCAGGCCGGGGATTCTAAAATCACTATTCGACATACGACTCGACAACGAGACGATTTTTCCGACGATTCTAGGTTAGAAATCTCATTGAAATTATACCTTTCGACACGACAAGGCTGGTATCGTTGTCGAGTCGTGTGTCGAATCGTGATTTTAGAATTTCGGCCCAGGTTTTTGAATCCATTGTGAATCTGATACGGCACTGTTTGCACCCAGTGCAGTTAGTTAGTTCCGCATAGGGCTGGTCGATGGGCGATGTCGTGTGGCATCGGTGGAACCCAAAAGTTCTTTTCACGTGGCTCCGGTTTAACTAACCGGGTTACAAAACGGTTAGAGAAATGACATACCGTTTTCTAACCCGGTTACAAAGTGACGTGATGGATATAGGGTGAGTTCGGCTTGCTCACTCCGTGCACTCGGAGTGACTCCATTCGCACTCCAGCCGTTCGGGTTAAGGTTCGGGTATTGCTTTTTACGGTATTAGGGGTGACTCCATTAGCTCTGTTCACTCCACTCCAACTCCGCGCTGAATAGCCGAACTCACCGATAGTAGTTTCAATACCCATTTAGAATAATCCCATCCTTATTTATTAATCACGAATCAGATGAAACAAAAAATTACTAACAAAAACGAATGTCGATTGCTAATACGTCAACTTCATATACAAATAGGAAATTCCTAACCCAATTTTATTTGTGTTTTCAAGAAGCGACATACGTTTTTTCACTAGAACGACTGGTACTTCTAACCTTGCGTTTGGTATTTTGCTCAAAGAGCAGAGCGTGCAGAGCGGAGCCGTAGTCAGGTGACCATCGAGCGCACAGAGCAGTTAAACGATGTATCAGAGTGCCCGAAATTTTAATAAGTGAACGCGAATGAGCCTGCACCGAATATACTTTTCTAATAAACGAACGGTAAATTCAAGCTCGGAGAACTCAGATCATAATACCGAACGCACGGTATATAGGTATTAAAAATTCTATACCTACCACTCGAATTTGAGCGGTATGTTGCGGTTTGTTAAACCGGAGCCACGTGAAAAGGGTTAAAGGTGGAACCCGTGCAACATATCTTATGTCCGTTTCCACCAACTATTTTAGGGAAGCCCTAACGATAAATATTCCCTAAATTGACATTTCTCCATGTGAAAATGTCATTTTAGGGAATACTTATCGTTAAGGCTCCCCTAAAATAGTTGGTGGAAATGGCCATTGGGACTTTATATCTAAAGCCGGCGCCACACGATGAGTCGAATGCCTTCCAACGTGTGACACATAGCGATTTGTAGCATCGTGTAGCCGTGCGCTAGTGATAAAAATGTATCCAATGCTGGCTACAGGCACCGTTCGGGCCAATGGCGGGCTAGAGCCTGCAGAGCCTGCCAAACAATGGCCGCGCTCACCAGATACAAACGTTGATAACTGCTTTGCGATTGTTCTGCTACGTTGAAATTATTGTGTTGAAATCAAACATGTTTTACAAACGGTTGCCATTTTTGCAAACATAATTCGAAAATTTTCATAATTTTGAACACTTTGTGTTTTGTGTGAGGAGGTGAGTTCGGAATGATACAAAAGGTTCGTTCCAACCCCCCGTTTTCGTATCGTCATGAAACGGTTTCGGAACTGTTAGGATCGATTGCAAGCGCATGCGTTGACCTTGCACGGTTTTATCTTGGTACAGAACAACGGGTTCATGATCGTTTTCGTAATGACGACAGTTCAAATAACTTTAACCCTAAATTTGTTTGTTTGCAAATTAAAATAGAAGAATATTGGATTAGGATTACAAAATAATATATAAAAAAGGAGAATCGAACACCAACGCTGATTCATTATCAAGAATCTGAAACTGAATCCTTGCGAGCTGATAACATCAAGGATTAGCAAATAGCTGATAATAAATTTTGTACTTTTTTTCACTTGAAAAAATAAAAATGCTACAGTCTTATAAGTTAGATTGGAAATTGGTTGTTTAACAACAACATGAACAACAACAACAACAGGTGACAAAAATTGAATTACGATGTCAGTCATGGATCAGTCCACGCGGTTCTTGCTTTCCACTCGGGATCGAAATGACGGTGCTAAAACCAGTTCTCGAACGATCCCAGGTTTGGTTGGAACGCCAACGAAACTGTACGGTAAACGATCATCTATCGGTTGGAACGCGTTTAACCTATGGCGTATGACCGTGACCGTACATTGAACGGTTTTTGGCTGGGTTGGAACGAACCTAAAGTGTCGACACTTTTTACACTATTGACACTGTGGCGTTCGTTAATTGGTGAAAGCAAGTTTGGTGTAATTTGCATTTGCAAATAACTTGGTGTCGGAATGGTGTAAAGATGGTGGAACACCGTTTACTCGGTACAAAATAATGGTGTATTCGGTGTTACACCGCCGATTAAACCTTGATCACGTGATATAACCCTGGGCCGAGTTCAGAAATAACGCATAGCGAGTGCGATTTTATGGGTGTGCCTGAATTGACAATAGGGAATTTTCATGAGAAATAAATATAGCTTATTTTGTTTTTATGGTGCACCTTTTTCTGTAAAATATTGAATATGAGCAGTTTTGCGTTAAATTTATCGATATTGTAGTCATAGGGAAGGCCGCAACGGCCCCCCCCTTCAAATTATATTTCAGTTTTAAAAAAAATTATAGATGGCGCCAAGATGAAAGCATTTTTACAGTGGAGCATTTTAATTATTATAGCGATTTCAATTTGCAGAATCAGTGCAACTTTTTTCACTCAGTTCACACTGATTGGCTAATGGGATTATGGAGGGATTTGTATTTATGACTTCAAATTTTGTTCTACTCCGTAAAAGTGATGTTTTGTTGTAGAGCTTGTTTTTGAGGTATGTTTATACAAATACAAATACAAATACAAATACAAATACAAAATATTTATTGATGCCATAACAAAAGTTTTACACAAGTCAAAAAAAGAGATTACAAATATTCATGTATACTAAATATTTTTCCTACAGCCGTGCGGAAAAATCGATTTTCCGCACTGATATGCGTGCGGAAAATGAGTTTTCCCGCACGGTGCGGTAAAACTTTTTTTTTTGACATATCAGTGCGGAAAAAGTTTTTCCGCACGGCTGTCAGTGCGGAAAAAAATTTACCGCACTGATATGTCAAAAAAAAAAAGAAAAATTTTACATTTTTTCGTCTGTAGGAAAAATATTGTACCTAACACTTGCGGAAAATATTTTTCCGCACTTGTTAGGTAAATAGCTATTTTCTCCAAACGTCAAAAAAACATCACTTTGTCAACACCTGTCAAGATGGTAGAAATTCAATTTCTATGTTGGTAGGCAAATCCAGGAGGTTAACACCTGTCGAGGTGGTAGAAATTTAATTTCTATGCTGCTTGGCAACCCCAGCGGCAGTAAAAGTACTTTTAGTGCCGCTCGTGCTTTTACTGCCGCTCAACCATCCAGTTTACCCCCGAGCTTACCACATTCGTTTGAAGAAAAAATAGCGTGTTGCATACGGAGTAGAAGTACTTTTTTGTGCTTCAGCAGTATTGCAAGCCTCACTACGTTCGGCTCGCAAACCCACTGCTTCAGCACAAAAAAGTAAAGCTTCTACTCCTAATACAACAATATACTATTAAATTTCAAATTATTTTCGTTGGCGCGAAAACGATAACTTTCAAAATGGCGGTACTCGTGACGTCAACTGTCTGTAAACACAACGTTAAGGACGTTAAGGTCTGTTCTCACAAGAGCCTCTGACACTTTGTAAACTGTCAGAAGAATCGCTCAGCTTGAACCTTCGACTGCATTGAAAGCAGTTATTACGTGGTGTTTCCGTATTTATGCCTGTATGCACCATTTTCAGGTATTTTCGTAATTAGCTAATCAGGGCTAATTATGTAATCACGGTTAAAAAAGTCGATTCGATGTACCAAAGGATTTTGCATTTGCCTGGTATGCACCATTACACAAATTCTCTGATTAAACTTTAGCCGTGATCACATAATATTTTTCGTATGCACCAAGCCACGTTCTGTCAATATAACCGACTGGTTAATCGCCTTTAATCGACATTAAATCGCTCGATGGCCTGGAATTTAGGATAACCGCGGCTATAATCAAATGAGGTTAGAATGTTTTGTTTTGTTTTTACATTTTAAAAACATTTTTGTCCCCAAAAAATTACTGGAAAAATAGTGTGTGGCGAGGGTGAGCAGGGAGAAATCAAATAAGGAATATGGAGATGGACCACCTATTATTTGACGAGGATTTGGATACTGATAAATAATGATTGTGTTAGATGGGCTTCCAACGCGTTGGAATGAGACGGAAAATTATTTTGAAGCCTTGGATGGATGATCTTATAAACCAATAGTCGTAGATCTTCCTGAAGAGGTGGAAGATGCCCTAACTTAACTTATGATAGGGTGGTAGTATTATATGTAATTTTATGGCTTGATTCCAGTAACTAATGACTATGTAATTACGGTAATTACTGTTTATTTCAAATAAAATGCCCAGGATGCTTTGTTTGTTTGTGTATACTGTATACCTAAAATTTATTCATCGAAAAAAACGCAGATATGGGGTCTCGCCAACCCAAAATTGGGTATTATCAGGGCCAAATACTGGAACTGATCTTCATAGTGGGAACTGATCCACTGCAAAATAAAAAGGTCCGGTCCAAGTTCGAGTTAAAGTCCGGACCACTTTTGCGTTGTCTACGTTGTACGGACTCGGAGTCAAACTCGAACTAATCGGATCACGCCGCGCCGGCCAGTGGAACAGGAAAAAGTGTGGACTCGGAGTAGGGACACAGATTCAGAGACGGAGTACATTACACCGACAGACTCGTTTCGATCAACGGCTCCGGATTGTCGGGATCACGCC